TGTAATCCCAGCACTTGGGAGGCTGAGGCAGGAGGATCATTGTGAGTTCAAGGCCAGCCGAGGCTACAAAGTGAGCTCAACACCAGCCTGAACTGCATAGCAAGACCTTGTCTCAAAAAGGTAAAAAAAAAAAAAAAAAAAGGATAGCCTGAACTACACAGTGAGACCCTCTCTCAAAAAACCAAAAAAAAAAAAGCGTTTGTGGGATCAGTGAATAAATGGGCAGAGGTGCATTTTAGATGTGGCAGGGATCAGAGAGGGGAAGACAAGATCAAGGGCAGGCAGCCAGGGAAGAGGTCAGCGTAGAGGAAAGCAGCAGCAACCCTGTCTGCAGCTGCCTGGCTGTGGGACATGGAGGAGTAGGGTGTGCAGAGAGGGAGCGTGGGTGGGGCTGGCACAGGTGGCAGGGCTCCATGTGAGGCTGAATTTAATGCCAACCTGTGGGTCTGGATCATGCCCCCACAGCCAGCAGTGGGGTCCCCAGAGCAGGGCCAAGTCTGAGTCCCAGTAGCCCCTACCCCTGGCCCCAGGCCTAGGTTTCTGTTTTTCTTTTCAGTACTGGCGCTGAGCTCAGGAGTGCTCTACCACTGAGCAACAGCCTGTTTTGAACAGGGTCTTACTGAATTGCCCTTGAACTTGCAGTCCTCTTGCCTCAGCCTCCCTCAGTGCTAGGATTGTTAGGTGTGCCACACTGCCTGATCTCGAGCTGAGTCTTGCTGAACATGGGTAAAGGGTTACAGAAATCACCAGGGCTTCTTCAAACACATTCTTAGGACTGGAAACATGTTAATAGCTTTTTTTTTTTTTTTTTTTTTTGGTTTTGTTTTGTTGGTATTAGGGATTATACCCAGAGCCTTCATGCTGAGATACGTCCCCAGCCCTTTATGTTTCACTTTGAGCCAAGGTCTTTTTAAATTACCCAGGTTGGGCTTGACCTTGCCATCCTCCTGCCTCAGCCTCCTGAGCAGCTGAGGAGTGTGACTTCTCGGTCCTCAGCATAAAGGACCCCAGGCTATCTTACCTGTCCCAATCTCCCGAGGTGCGCACATTCACACAGAGGCCTGGTTTCACCACCTGCCATCCGGGCACCGAGTGTTTATTATTATAGTCCATTTTTAAATCCGCACCGCGGAGAAAGAGGGAGGGGCAATAGAGAGAAGGGGAACCCGGACCAGACCCCTCCCCCCACCAGGGCCCAGGGCATCTGCCCCATTGGGCAAGGAAGACTTTGTGAGATCCCTGAGGGCCCCAGGAGGCGGGGGCTGGGAGCCGCAGAAGAGGTGGAGTCGAGGGCTGGCCCCCGTGAAGGGCGGCGCCGCCCCTGCTGGGCTGCTCCGCGAGCCTGGGGCGACCCCGTCCCACCATGCCTGGGAGCAAGCACTGTTGGGCGGCCCTGAAGCCCGCGGCGTGCCGTCCTGTGCCTGCTGCTGCGGTCCTCTTGGCGGAGCTGAGGACGGTCGAGCGCCTCCCATCCCTCCCGGCTCTCGGTGGCCTGCTTGGTCGTCAGCTCCACTGTTTTGCCGCATGTCCTCTGCCACCTCCTGACCTGAACCCCTCGGACCTCAGGGTCAGACGTACATGGGGACAGTCCCCCTGTCCTCGTGCCATGCTGCAGGTCTGGCTTCCACGGCCTCAGCCCAGGGCACAGCGTAAGGGCTGGAGAGACGGGCTCAAGAGCGAGCTCCCTGGCTTTGCTGCTGGGGTTCGGGCAACCCAGACCGCGGCAGGGGAGGGACGCGGCTCCTCAGCCAGGTCTCCTGCAGCCGGCTCCGAAGGGAGCAGCAGTTCCCCACCCGGGCTGGTGGCGCACCCACGGCTGGGCCACTGTTCCGTCCGCCTGGGTCAGGTGCAGCCTGCTGTACCACCTCCTCGTCTGCCCAGTGAGGGAGAGGAGGGAGGGGAGGTTCCCAGGGCTGGCACCTTCTGAGGTGTGCCCGGGCTCACTGAGCGGAGGCGAAGGGTCACAGCAGACTGCGCTCTCGTGCCAGCGCCCAGCCTGGTGAGCGGGCATCAAGCAGGAAGTGGGGGCAGGGTGCTCCCTGTGTTCGCAACGGCTCTTTGTTCCCTGGACGCGAAGGTGGGTGCGAGAAGGGGGGGTGGGCACCGGTCGGGAGCGGTTCGGTCTGGCTCCCCCTTGTGGGCGGGGTGCCCACCCTCGGTCTTCCCCACCCCATCTGCCCACGTGCTGGCCCCGGAGCTCTTCGTAGGGGGTGCAGTCCCCCTCCTGCGCAGTCCCAGGGCGTGGCCTCGTCCTCCGCCAGGCGGCCCCAAGGTCCGGCTGGGCTCAGAAGCCGCCGCTCTCAGAGCTGCTTCGGCTGTGGTAGCTTGGACTGGGGCTTCGCGAGGGGCTGCGCGTGTGGCTTCGGGTCCGGCTGCGGCTGCTGTAGCTTCCGTGGCTGTGCCCCGGGCTGGGGCTGCGGCTGGGGCTCCGGCTGGAGTAGTCGCTGCTTAGGCAGCTGGAGGAAGAGGAGGGGCTGGGCCGGTAGTAAGGGATGGGACGCTTTCGGGCACTGCCGGGAGGGAGAAGCAGGTTACAGGCCAGCCAGGGCCCTGAGCGCTGCCCAACCTGTGCCCTCACTCAGGCCCTGAGTCCCATCCCAGCAGCAGCCAGGGGCTCCTCCCTCAGTTTCCCTTGAGGCCTGGGCTTTGGGACACCCACCTCTCCAAACAGAATGTGAATCACTTGTCAATTCCAATTCCACACTGATCATTTTGTTTTTTTTTGCCTGTCTGCAGGAAAGGAAACCAAGTCCTTGCTTGGTCTGAGGTCTGAGTACTGTGTGTATTTTTGTTGAGCTAATGAAAATTCCCCTCCCCAATACAGGGGATTGAACCCAGAGCTTTTACACCGAGCTACATCTCCATTCCTTTTTATTCTGAGAAGGGCTCTTACTGAGTTGCCCTGAGTTGCTGGGCTTGAACTTTTGATCCTCCTGCCTCAGCCTCTCACAATGTTGGGATTACAGGCCTGTGCCATCATCCTCATCTTCGATGAAACTTTTAAATAGGAATGACTCACATCAACCAAGCTAAGTAGTGACTTTTCTCCCCACTGGTGCTCAGACCGAATCCAGGATCTTGCACATGCTAGGCAAGCGCTCTTCCACTGACTACAGCCCCAGCCTCCTTCCCAACAGGGAAGTCCTTAGGAACATGGCTCAGCCCTGTTTCTCTGTCCCCTGTGGAATGGAGGATTTGGGCCTTTTAAACATCTCAGAGGGAGCAAAGGGTAAACCCCTGGCCACTGCTGCCCACACCCGAAGCCTGGCCCAGTCCCGCTGGCCCCCCATTCCTCACTCAGCTACCTCCCCCTGGCCCGGAGTTAGTTCAAAGGCAGGAGGCTATGACCCAGAGAAAAGAAAAGAGTGGTTATGGGGGCTACAGCATCCCATCTCGGGGGTTAATTCTGAAGAAGAAAACGGGTGCGTTAGTGGGAGGAGGAGGGGGAGGGCTGAGGTGGGTGTTGGGTGGAAGATTCGGTGTCTGGCTGTCTTTGGGTGGCAGTGTGACCTGAGTGTGTCCTAAGTTTAGTGGTCTGGGGTGGAGAAGGAGGCAATACCCTCTTCTCTCTCGGAAACCCCGATAACCCAGGACTAGGAAGGCCTAGTTTGACAACCAAATCCTGTTGGAGTTGAACTGATGCTGGGGACTTCTGCTTATCAAGACGAAGGCTCAGAGAGGCACATTGATCTGCCCAGGCTGCCCAGCAAGACAGCAGCAGAGCTGGGCTTGGAGGTTTGCCTGAGGCCTCCCCTCATCCCAGGATACTTCCAGACCTCAGGAACATTTGCACAAAGGTGCACCACTGTCTCACCAGGTCCAGACCCCTCCAGTCCTAGAAGAGAAGCCTTGACCGGGTGGCTTCCGTCCAACTGGCCCCACCCGGGGCATAGCCTCACTGGGCTGTGTGGAGTTCCTTGGACAGCTGCTCCAGACCACCCACTGCTCTGCCCCCTCCTCCAAGTCCCCAGGGGGCTGGGAGGTTAGTGAGGAAAGGAGAGGCAGACAGACGGACAGCTGACCAAAGCCAGACCAGCTCACACGGGCATCTCCGCGGCAGCCTGTGCAGAGGGGTCCACCCGGCCCCCAGGCTGGCCACAGGCCACTCGGCAGGCTGGACCTTGGGATGAAGGAGAAAAGGAGACATCATTGTCCAGGGATGAGGGTGGGAGGAAGGGAGGAAGGAGGGAGAGAGAACTCCAGAGGGATGGCTGGAATCTTCCAGGGCTGAGCCCCACTCCTGCTGCTGCCCATCCAGACCCAAGGACGGAGAGCTCTCTCCTCCTCGGGCCTTCAGGTCCCATTGAGGACCTTTCCCCTCCTTAGGGTCTCTGATCCGCCAGTCCCAGTCCTCCCAGTCCTATTCCTCTGCCCCCACTATGCCAAATTCTCTCCAGAGCCCACCTCCTCTCCCCAAAATGCCCCCCAGCCCCGGCCTGGCGAAACCTCATCGTCCTGAGGTCCCTGGTCACTGACTTGGGTCAGTGGCCCCTGTCCCAGGGCCCCCGACCCCGGGCCCTTCCCTACCTGGTGATGCGCCGCGGCTCCATGAAGCTGGGTGAGTCGCGGCGCCGCTTGCGGATGGGGGAGTAGCTACGGGAGCGGCGCCGGGCGCGGTTGGCCTCGGCTTCGGCGTGCCTCGCGCGGCCCTCGCTGTCTTTGTCCCTGCGGGGTTGGCCGGGTTGAGCCACATCGCCTGGTTCCCTGCCTTGCGCCCCCTAGAGGCCGGGGTTCCCGCCGCGCGCCCCCTAGAGGTCCGGGTCTCCTCCACCCTCTCCTTCGGTGCTGTCCTCTGTGGCGTCCGCGCGGGGAGCGCACGGGCATAGCGGGGGGCACTCACCGGCTAAGGGGTTTCTTGGGCGACGGCGAGTGGCTGGGGCTGCGGGCCCTCTTCTCCGGGGACCGCGAGCGAGATTTAGAGGGCGATCGGCTGGAACTCCAGGACCGGGGGTGGGGACCAGGACTGGGCGACGAACTCTTACCCTCCGGACCGCCGTGCCTGCTGTGCGGGCCCGGGGACGGCGAGGTGCTGGCGGGGCGCGCGCGCGGGGGCCGCTCCTTCGCCCTGGGGGAGGCAGAGGCGGGGGAGGGGCAGTGTGGGCGGAGCTTAGCCAGGAGGGGAGGAGCCCGCGAGGTCCTCGCTGCGAGTGCCGCGCGGAAAGTGAGCAGCGGGCGGGAGCCTGGTGGGGACGGCGGGGCTGGGAGAGGCTGGGTGGAAGAAGGGTGTTCTTTAGGGTGGAAGAGGGTTACTGGGAAAGAGGGAGCCCAGTGGAGGGAGAATGTTCGTTTGGGGGGAGGGGCCAGTAGGGGGAGCGCAGTGGGGGGGACAGTGTGTCCGTGGGGGTGGAGACCAGCAGGGGGAGGGGAACCCCGTGGGGAAGCAGCCGGGGGAGCGCAAAGCTCTGTGGGCAGGTGGCCACCCCACTGAGGGCGGGCGGCAGCCGGGCTCACCGTTTCCCGTGTCCGCTGTGGCTTCGCTCCGAGCCTGGCTCCGGCCCGGGGCCCGGGGCGTCTCCGCCCGAGTCGCTGCTGGAGCGCGCGCGGCTGAGCGAGCGCGAGGAGTCCCGGGGCGG